TTTTTTTAAAAAAAAAATTTCTTTTTGCTCCTTTGCTTTTATCTATTTGTCTTTAATATTGTGCCATTTTTATGGTTTTCACTCATTGATTGAGTGGCCCATGGATTAACCACTTATAGTTGGATTCTTATCGGATGTCCCCGAAGGGACTGTAATGGATTCTTAAGAACCTAATTAAGTAAACAACATTACTTTATATTAGCATAAAACTTAAAATTTGAAAATGCGCATATTATGTGTGCAACATTGCGTACATAACATATATAAAAACTTGATTTACCAGTATCCATATTACTAGCTGTCCAATTTATTTTCAGTTAAAAGAAAGGTATAAATTAATTTAATTAGAAAAACATGTACACCTGATTATCTTTTCTATACTATTAAACACATGACTAAAGGAATACTTCAAATAGAGAACATGTAAATGTGAGCATAGCGTTTTTATACTGTGATCAAGTTTCAAATATATAACTTCAATATAATATAAGTTTCACACTTATCCAGAATTTTTAAAAGTGCTTAACTAGCTTGGTTTGAACACTTTGTTTAAAAACGTCTATATCACTTTCGATTTACTACTAACAAATTTAAATTAACTCATGAGAAACTATGAGCTGGCTATTTAGAAATTGAATTACTTAATTAACAACATTATTGATACTGAATTTGGAAATTATCTAATTCATGAACACAAGCAACGAAATAAATAAAAACACCACATAATAAATAGGGGGAAGAATAAAAGATGTATCAATGAAGAGTACCTCTTTAATGTTTTGGATACTTTCGAGCCAAACACCAACTTCATGTTTCCTTTGCGCCTCTCTGCTACTCTCAGCTTCTTCAATTTGTGCTTTTAACGTTGATAAACTCTTATGTGCAGTGAATTCTTAGTCTAATTTGTAAGATCAAATGGCAATTTTATGATTAAAAGCTATTTGTTTTGTGACAAAATAAATAAAAAAATATGATTGATCAAATTAGGAACTGAGTATCATTTTTTATAGTATTTTTGATGCTGTGAACCAGTTGCTCTTTTTTTTGTTTTTGGATGAAAAAAGTTACTCATTTTATTTGTTTCTATCAGGTCTTAGGCCGAAAATTAAAGATATGAAAGATCAGGCCCAGCCCAAGCCCAAAAGAATTGGATGAAGACTTTGACTAATGAAGTGCTGCGTTTTGATGAAGAGCTAGGTGGAAGAGGATTCTGTTATGGACGATTGGGCAGGAGGATGATTGGTTGGTTTTATGAGCTGGCAAGTGGGAATGAATTGATCATCATCTTTCTTTCCGTCCTGCTGATCTCTTCCCTGCACCGTCATTTTTCTTTCCTCTCATCATCTCAATCTTCGTTCTGATCCTTCCATGGCACCTGCTATTTCATACTCAGTAGCTGTGATGCGAGGCTGGACACTGTGCATTTGTGGAGAGGTGCTGGATCTGAGCTTCTGAGCATCAGTGAGAAAGAGTTCGATGATCTTCGGAGATTCAGACTAGACATCTGATTTGAGTATGCGAGTTGTATGCTTTAATTCTTATGCTAGATTTATTTCGTAAATCTGGAACTGAACTCTCAAGATCTGTAGGCTTGCTTAGCCAGAGACCTCTGTGGATTCGAGTTGAATTTGCTTCTTCTTTCTTCTTTAATTTGGATATAATTGTTACCTCAACCGAGTTGGCTGATGTTCTCAATTAATTCAATTAATTTCTGGATGAATGCAAGGCTGTGTTTGTCATAGAAGAATGGATCCTCTGGTTAGGTTCCCCTAGGTTGAACATTTCGCACTCAGTGTTAATGTCTTGCGAGTAGCAGTTAGGCACTGATCCAATCTACGAGTTGTGGATTAATTGATAATTCAACTATTGAACTCTTAGTTTCATAAAACCAGGAAGGTCATAAGCTATCTCCACAGAAGCATTATCAATCATTGTCGGCAACATTTTCTGTTCACTAGTTTTCTATTTACTTTAGTTCCTTTGTTTTTACATTCGTTTGTAAATTTCAGAAATAATAGCTGAGGTCTCTCTTCTTAGATAGAAACTATAATCTAAAAAAAAAAAAAATTACATTGCAATAGAAACCCATACTTGTTAATTTGATAATGTGTTTAATTGGACTGGTTAGGAACTGCAACAAATTAGGCTTCTTGAGCCTTGACCTAGGCTAGACTCCATTTCTACATTTAGCTTAGTAATTTTTGAAGAGTAGACTGACATGCTTTTCACAGGTCCAAGGCTTTTCCATTTATGATTCAGAGGTTGCAGATTCTTTTCCAAATCATAAATAAACTTTGCTTCTTGTTTGGTGCAAACATACTAATTCTTGTTATATCCATATGATATCTCCCAGTTTCTCCATATCTGCCTCTCACTTTTGATCTTTCAAACGATGCTAAGCCTGCATTTGATCCAAAATCACACAGCAAAATGCTAAAGTTAGGGTTTTTTTTTCATAAATATTTTGCCATTTCTTTGTCTTTCCCCCCTTCAAAATGAAAGAACACCACATGTATGATAGTTTGGGCTTACCTCGTACACCAAAGAGACTGCAATATTATTCATGAGTTTGCATGACAGCTGATGATGCAGATTAATAGGATTTGAAATGATGATGATGATGATTCCTTTGTTTCTTTAATTTTGAAAAGTAAATTGAAGCATCTAATTCCTTACTGGATTTTTATTTTTATTTGAGATGGACATTGATTTATTCTCTTGGATGCTATGATTTCTTTCTTTTGCTTTTGTTTATTCTCACATTAATGAACAAGTCAGGAATCATCTTTCAGAATATTGCCATTCACAAGTTGGAGTGAAGCAATGAATTTTTTTTTTTTGCTTTTAAAAAATTATAAATTACGTTTTCTATGGCTTTCAAGTTTGGGATAATTAGTTTGCTAGTCTTATAGTTTCATCCAGTTTTAAATTAGGTCCCTACAGTTTTTTTACTTTTTATTAGATCCTTATTGTTTGCTCAGTTTTGATGAGGGTCCTTCTGTTACTAACACTGTTAGTTTAAGCAGATAAAGGCTTACGTGGCAGGTATTCATTGTCTTCTTCCTCAACTTCTCTCCCTCCCTACTCCTCTCAATCACCTTTAAACCACCCGATGCTCCCTCTGCATCATCATTGTTCTGCTTGCCCACCTTTTCAACTAACAAACCCCCACTCTCCTTCCTTACTACCCCTTCCATTCTCACTCTCTCTCTCTCCCTCGTTCTCTCTCTCTCTCTCTCTAATTTCTATGAATGAAGACGATATGGTCTCTAACATTCATGGTGTCAAAATTCTCTGTGTATTAATTGTATTGTTAAACCCTTGGACACTAAAATATTGAGTTTCCACTAGAAGAGCCATAACAGCGACGGTATCAACCTCCTGTGGACTCACCAACAAATGTTTGGAGATAGTTTCGTTTCCCATATAAGATCAAGTGGGAACTTACCGCATTTTCTTGGCTGACTCGGTTCTTCACCTTGATTGTTTAAAATATAAATCCCTTAATACTCCACTTCAGTAATGTAATTATCATAGGAAGAACTTGTTCTTCTTGGAAGAATCTCTCATGATAGTGAAGGTAGTAGAGAGAGAGAAAGTGAGAGTGAGAGTGAGAGTGAGAATGGAAGGGGGAGTGAGGAAGGACAGTGGGGCTTATTAGTTGAAAAGGTGGGCAAGCAGGACGATCATGATGTGGAGAGAGCATCGGTTGTTTTAAAGGAGATTGAAGGGAGGAGAGAGGGAGAGAAGCTGAGGAAGAAGAAGACAATGAATGCTGCCACATAAGCCCCTATCTGCTTAAACTAACAGTGTTAGTAACGGAAGGACTCTCATCAAAACTGAACAAACAATAAGGATCTAATAAAAAGAAAAAAAAACTATAGGGACCTAATTTAAAATTGGATGAAACTATAAGGACTAGTAAATTAATTATCCCTTCAAGTTTTGATTAGAGAGTTTGATTCTTAATTTAAAGTTTTGGTGCTCGATTAGATCAGGTCAAGAATCAGAAATTTTTAATTTCCACTGCGATGACTGGACCAGAAGGCATTGTTAATTCTTACACACACACACTATATGCATCTAAGCTTTTCATCGGTACACATTGAGATAAATAATTAAATTAAAGATAGTCCCACTATATTTTTTTTTAATTGCTCACGAGTATCTTTTTCTTAGAAGTAATCTTGTTAGACATACCGTCAAGTACTAAATATGAGTTCATCACGTTATGAGAGAGATCAGCTTCTTCTGTTAGACCTCACCCTTAATAGTCTAGTCTCACTCTATTGTTGGTAATGGAATGATAATCTTTACACTCAACTCAAGAGACAAGAATCACAATATATTATTTGTGAGAGAATGACATTTAAATCCCTAAAAGAATAAATTAATGATAATTGGTTCTTCTAAAAATTCTAAAAAATATTGAGGCATTTACAAATAGGATTCTCAATTGCAAATTAAAAGTGATGTTTCAAACTTAATTAGATTTAAAATTCTTCAGTTAAAATCTAACTGAGTCATTTCTATTCATATTTCTTTAGTAGATAACTTCCATAATCCATAAACTTATATAGGATGTAAATCCTCCTACCTTAAATACCTTATAAAGGACAAGCAAGAAAATCATGAACCACTAAAAGCCAGGTTTCTATTGAAAAGAATAATTAACAATGAAATTAAGCTTTGTTTTCAGGAAATTTTACACCTTCACTTTTCAATGTGAAAAATCCCCCTGCACTCTTGATGTGTTCAACGTTATAGCTTTCCCAAAAGTATTGGGCTAATAGAGTAAACACTTTTCTTTGAATCTAGGCAGAGATAATCCAAACTGATTTAAAAATCAGGAGCTTTCATCATGTTGATCCTTTTTATTGTATGTAATTCACCCTTACATGGACAGTGAATGCCGTGCGAAAACTCCCTTATTATCCTTAATATTTACCATCAAAGGGAGTTGCAATCTTTAGAATCTTCCTCGTTCATGCTTGCACAAACTATCCTAGTTCCATGCTTCCCAGTAAAAGCCACCTGCTCTTTGCCTGAAGTTCTGCATTATTCAACCTCCGCTTTGCATCTTCTTCCATCATATTCGCACTCCATTCAACATACGTAGCAATACCTGGCATTATAGAAGGAAATAAAGTGAGGTATTCTCAAAATATCTTCTATTCACTGTAAAATACAGTAAGAATAATTACAGATGATATTTCGGTCAAGCAAAAGAATACATCAGCAACAGTGTATGTAGACCATAGAGGATTAAGGCACTATCTAAGAAATCCCTCAGAGCGAATGGAAGCCCAGTAGGAACAACAGGCCTAATGTGTCTGTTCAAATCCAATGGTCAGCCCATTCCTAGGAACCAATAAATATTCCTTTAGTTATCTATCGTACCCGTCATTTAGAGTTTAAGGATTGCACGTCCCTTCTAAGGACCCTACAAAAGTTAAGTACATATTCAAGGACTCCAAGCATGATAGATCCATAAACCAACCAAAAAGATGTGCTACAGAAGTAGCTTATTATTAAAAAGGTCAAGTAAAATAAATATTGACTAAACAAAGTAAATAATAGTAATATCGTTACTCAAATTAAGCACATACCTTTTCCGTAACCTCCAATGCTAGACTCCTGGCTGATTCACTGTCAGGATAATACACTAAAACTAAACCGATCAAATTGCCGAATTTACCAACACCTTCCTGGACAATGCGAATCTACACATGCCCACATTAACATAAAAATTTGCAGAAATTCACGAAGATATGTATACCCTATACAAGCAGGTCATTCACATCTTGGTTCACACATGCGTCTCAGTACAGCATAGATACACAAATTTGAGAAACAATCTTTCTTCCCTGTAATGTGCAATATATTGACAGGTGACCCCCGAAATGTAGCAAAAAGAATGTGTCTTGTGTGATCAAATAGTTCAATAAAAGCAGGTATCTAAGTCATTTTAACAGGCAATCATTTCACTATTTCATAAGTCTGTGTTACTTGAAGGCCTGAGGACGCCAATTTCCAATTTTTTTGGGGGAGGGGACATTCTATATATACACCTACCCATATCCGGATTTTTCTTTCACTAAAGTAATAGTAAAGCTAGATATTGCTTAGGAAGAACAAAGCTGGAGAAAATACATGGAATTTTTTTTGGAGGTACTTCAGAATGCATCATAAAGCTTGACAAAATCAAGGAGATTCGAGACAGCTAACTTAAATCTGGCACATGTGACCCATTATACCTGGAAAATGGTGATCAAATCACCATGAAGTCAGTGTAATTAGATTGCACCTTTATTCAGAAGGTACGTCTCACAACTTATTAGCAGCAACAACTTCTTCCTCAAGTTTTGCTGTCCGTGCCAGCAAAACCAAAGCATAAAAAGAAAGAAGTGATGGCTTTATCCATGCATCAAAGAACAGAAGTGATGGATTCAATTTCCACAAGATTAAGCTTGATCGATTATCTTTAAAGGATATCTAACTATCAATGATTAATAATTATACTGCCACGGGAAACTAGTAATAGAAGCCATCCCTCGACCACGGGAAATAATAAAAAGTTATCTCAAGTCTTGCCACATCAACCTCTAGCAAAATTCAATAGACAGGGATGCAAATAGTTATTACATAAATGAAATAAGTGATTTAAACATCTAAATGGTTAGTTGGTGTAAAGATTGAATGCCACCTTGAATGATTTAGATCTTCGGATTGAAGGATCTACATCTGTAGGTGCCAAATATGACTTTCTGGCTATATCAAATTGCTTCAATTCCAAAAGTGCATCACAAAATCTATTTAAGTGACATGCTCCTAAACCATTAAAGTACATTTCATTTTGGCAGGAGCCAAATCATAAACTAATAAATTTAAGTCCATATAAAAATTTATTGGGTAACAGCAAAGAACACAGAAGTTAAAACAAATATTCAAACTGATGATAAGCAAGTAAAACTAATGGTTAGAATATGAGATGAACGGTATTGGGTGGTCACCATTTCCCAGAAATCCCCATAAGTATGTGAACATGTGATAGTGGACCTTGCGTAGCTATAGACTGAGAAAGACGTCCAGAGGAAGAGGTCTGCACGCAAGGAACTCATACGTTTCTGCTCATTTTTATTTCATTTTCACATGGTAGGACATCTGTATAACGATTTTTGCTCATATTTACGTCATTTAAAGCTACAATGCATCTTCTCCTCATGAAAGACCGAACAATAGTATGAATTAGTGACATCATGATAACTAAATGGTTCAAAGCTAAAGGTTTTCCAGTCCCACATGCAGAGGACACTTAAGCGATATACCAAACAATAATCAATTTTATCAAACACTTGTTGGATTTAAGTGCCTTATTAGCTGTCTAAATGAAGGAAAGATCCATGAACAGCCACTACAGCTAACTCAAAAATACAGAAACGCAAAAATAAATTTCACGCAGATTATACTTTATAAAAGTGCAGCAAAATGCAAAAATCTAACAGATAAGAATCTAATGACACCAAAGGCTCTTCCGGAAGGCAGGAAACTCCAGAAAGCAATATCCTTTACTGATGCTACTGTAATTCAGTATAGAAAAATGGTAATCCAGTGACTCACCAATCTCTCCGTTAATTATAGCACCCTTGAACAGATATGCAGCCTAATTGAGTAAAATAAATTGTTAGAGCACTGTACATAATAAGTAAACAAAAAATAAGAACAAGATCCAGTTGAAAGAATCATACTTTAATTGCTCCTGCATGAGCCCTGATCTGTGCCAATATTGGCCGTTTTTCCTCTCCTTTTCTCAAGACCGACATGCAGCAGAACCGACGAGAATCACTATGCACAAGCATAGATTGCGAGAAATAAAAATATTAAAATTAAAAAGAAATGGATTTATCATCTAGCCATTCAAGCGAACATTGTCTGATAGGACAGTGAAAAGGAAAGGCATGCAGACACAAAATAGCAAAGAAGAAAGGCCAGATCCAAGTCCATGAATGGAATTTGAAGAGTCATTTACTGTCCCCCATTCCATACACAAGCAACCTCCTGACCGATCCTGTGCGGCATCTGAAGCTTCTCCCAGCGATTCGGATCGATACTGGACCTGATTGGGGGTGAGAGAGATTCTTCTAAGGGAATCAGGGGAGAATTCCAGCGGTTTGTGTGTGAGTGTGTGATCGATCGACAAGACTGGGGAATCTTAGACCTTATCCCTTAAAAAAAATATCGCATCCGTAACAAGTTGATTTAGGTGTTGTTTGATAACCTCCAAACTATAGTTTTAGAAGTATTTTTTCACAAAACGAGACAAATTTTTTTACATATTTATTTCGTAAACTGTAAAAACACTTCTAAAACTATAGTTTGGTTTTTATCCAAATACCTTCTTAATTTATTTATATCCATTTTACAAGCTGTCCAATTTGATTGAAAAAAAAATGGACACCTGATTAGAGAACACGTAGCTATGAGCATAATGTTTTTATATTGTGATGAAGTTTCAAATAAATTCAATATAAAATATGTTTCACAGTTATCCAAAATTTTTACAAGTGCTTAGCTTGATTTGACCAGAATTTTTTTTTGAAAAAAAAATGGTTTAGAGCACTTTCGATTTACAACTAATTAACAAATTTAAATTAACTCAAGAGAAACCATTGGGCAAAGCATTTAGAACTTGAATTACTTAATTAACATTATTGATGTTGAATTTGGAAATTATCTAATTCATGAATAGAGACAATCAAATAAATAAAAACACCACATACTAAATAAGTGGGAAAAAAAAGAATAGATGTATTAATCGAAGAGTACCTCTTGAATATTTTGGATACTTTAGAGCCAAACACTGACTTCATGTGTCCTTTTCCCCTCTCTGCTACTCTTAGCTTTTTCAATTTGAGCTTCCACGCCTTTCTTCATAGTTTGAAGGCTTTTCCATTTATGATTCAGAGATTACAGACTCTCTTCCAACTCATAAATAAACTCAGCCTCTTTTTTGGCGCCAACACACAGATTCCTTGTTATATCCCATATGATATCTCCTAGTTTCTCCATATTTGTCCCTCTCACTTTCGTCTTTTCAAACAATGCTAATTAAGTTTGCATTTAATCCAAAATCAAACAGCAAAATGCTGAAGTTAGAGTTTTTATTCAATAAATATTTTTCCCTCATCAAAATGAAGGAAGACCACGTGTGATAGTTTGGGCTCACCTCGTACACCAAGTGATTGTAATATTTTATGAGTTTGCATGAGACAGTTGATGATGCAAATGGATAGGATTTGAAACGATGATGATGATCCCTTTATTTCTTTAATTTGAAAAGTAAATTGAAGCATCTAATTTACTTTATCCTTATTTTTCTTTGATGAGATGGACATTGATTTATTCTTTATTAGGATGCTATGATTTCTTTCTTTGGCTTTTGTCTATTCTAACATGAATGAACAAGTTAGGAATCTTCATAAAAGAGATTGCCATTCTCGAGTTGGAGTTGAAGCAATGAATTTTTTTTTTTGAAAAATAAAAATTACATTTTATATGGCTTCAAGTTTTGACTAGAGTTTGATTCTTGATTTGAAGTTTTGCTGCTCCATCATATCAGATCAAGAATCAGAATTTTTAATTTGTCCTGAGATGATGGACCAATGATATAGAAGGCACGGTTAATTATATATATATATATATATATATATATAAAATATGGTCCAAGCTTTTCATCGTTGAACGTTGAGATAAGTAATTAAATTAAAGATAATTCCACTCTAATTATTGGTAATGGATTGATAATCATTTGACCCAACCCAAGAGACGAAAATCATAATTTTTTTTTGGTGGAAAGAATGACATTTTAGTGCTGAAAAAATAAATTAACGATAATTGGATCCTTAAAAAAATTTCTGAAAAATATTGAGACATTTGCAAATAGGATTCCCAATTGTAAATTAAAAGTTGCATTTCAAACTTAAATGCCCTAAATGCCGTATCTGCAGTTAAAATTCATCAATTTATAATTGTCCAAATCAAATATTTGTAAATTTGTAAATTTTTTTTCCAAAAGTCTATAATACATATTTACATACAATAACATCGAGTCCCTCTCTAGAGTTAAAACTAAAATGACCATTGTAAATTAAAGTCCACTCAGTCAAATGAGGAAATGAAATAAGGAAAAAAAAATCAAGAAAATTAATTAGCTTTAATTGAAAATCATATAGCCCAATTAGTCAGTCAAACAGTACAACATTACAAAACAATGACAATACTAATTATTGTAAACAATATTCAGGAACACGAATACAATGTCTCACTAGTTGCTGTGGTGGCTTCCACTCGTCATCACTAGTGTTATTTGCACTAAATTGCTTGCTGTAAATATTTAGATATAAAAACAAGAGTCAAGAAATCAGCGATAGGCATCCCAAGATGAAATCAAATAAGGCAAGAAAAGCACTAATTTGAGCATTGTGCAAGCTAAAAATTCCATATATTAGACATGGGATCAATATAGACAAGTACTGATTCTAAAGTGAAAAAAATAAAGGGAAAAAAATTGGACCAGACTGGCAGCTTGTGGTCCTATCTGGTTTGAGTACTAAACTAGTTATGGAGTAAATCAGTATCAACTGGATTAAACTAGTAAAAGTTGGAGTGAACTGGTGATAAACTGAATTGAATGATTATGTTGTTGTCGGTTCCATCTTTCCTTATTTAACTTCTAATATCTCAATCACTATAGATTTGAATGAACTTTAATTTAATGATGATTTTAATATCAATGATTATTAATTTTAGTTATTGAGGGATAATAAAGATGAATGTTGTTGTCAATTAAAAAAAAAAAACCAAACCGGACTGGATCGGTCTATTCAATAGAAAAACTAGCGAATTGGTCTCTGGTCCGGTTTGGTTAAAGGAAAAAAGCAACCTATGATCAAACTAAAAAAAACCGGTTCAAATGATAAAAACGAGTAAAAACAAGCAACCCACCGGTTGGATGGGTTGTCCAAAGTTTAATAATTTTAGTCTTCCTGAGGACATCGTTTTGTGTTGAAAAATATTTTTTTTAAAAAAAAAAACACAGTTAGACTTGCAGGCGACAGACTAAATCTGAAAAGGAAGGGAGGGCAATGCAACACCTAACTTTCTATATACCAGTAGGGTCCACTTAACATCTGTGGATCACTAGACGCCAGTGTTCTATCCTACTTTTGAAGCACATATGACAGGCACACAGATTTAAAATAATACTACTATTATATAAGTTACTACCCTGGTCATTCAGGACAATGACCCTTACCTGAGCACTGAAAGTACACACTCCCTTAAGAAGGATACAAAATAGCATAATTACTAGTAAGTGGGGGTTACTTGCTCTTAAACATCTAATAAGTCAGATAATTAAATATCAAAATAATTATTCTATAGGTACAAAGGCAGCAGGCATTCCTGCTCTTCATACAAGCCCACCTTCAGCACTTATGACCCTCCTTACTCTTGGAATTGCTTGCTTTAGCTGTATAGTATAGGAAGGGAGGGTGAGATTCGAACGAATCCCCGTAGTAGTAATTTCCATCGAACAAATGTGCAGATTATATAAAGCATGCAAAACAAGCCAAAGTGGAACATAACCTTGCAAGCTAATGCAATTAAGCATTTATGCGCAATGACAGATAAACAAGCTGAATAAATAATGCACAAATAATTGGCAATCACTGTCCCATGTCTATCAGCTATACGTGATCACGGCTAAATAATCCATGCAAGGAAATAAAGATTACATGTTCTCATGCTTTAAACAGCAATATGGCACAAACAGACATGCAGTAATCATACACAAGTGTAAGGTAAGAAAGAACTACTACATCAACCTTCTGCTTCAAAATCAAACCTTACTTGTTTATTTCCTTTCTCTTAGCTTCTTCGGTAGGCTTTTGCAGATATCAAAACCTATTATTTTAGTAAGGGTAGGTTAATGCTTGATCCAACTAAAATTCATAAATTATAAATCTCTCTTTAAATCCCAATCCTTTTTCAATCTCTGCCCTTATTTAATAGTTGGTCATCTTGAACAATTTTTCTTATTTAATACATTTACTGTGGAGAGTTTCTCTCTTTATCTCAGCTCAAATAGTTACTTTTCTTAGTAACTGATCATCTTAGTCAAAAATAATATATTATATACACACACAAGTCTTCTATCTTTAAAATATTTTCTATTAACACTTCATATTAAATCTCAAAATTATTCTCCAGTTTTGAAAATCATCGTCACAGCACTTTGATAAATTTCTAACCATATTCCAAAACAACTATATATAACAACTCTATTAGCCTTTAATTACTCTTATCCCCTTGCCTTACAAGCTTACTAATCGAAAGTGTGTACACATACACAAATATATACTTTATAGCACTTCCCATGCCAGACACCTAACACTTAGGCGCCTATGCTAGAGTATAAATTATTATTTTTGTACTTCTAACTGCTTCTAAAATTGGCTTGGCTTAATTAACTTCATACTGTAATTTCCAAATCCATACAATTCTTATCTATTATATTTTAAGGACAAAGTCATGTCTCACATGCATGTGCTTTCAAGTCCACTAACTTGAGTTTCAGTCAAGTAAAAAGTCCAAATGACTTTGACTTACACGTACTCATTTATAAATACACATTCAATCTCCCTTGTTAGAAATTTAGTCAAATAACTCAATCATTTGAATCCCCACTAAACCATTCATAATTCATTTAAACACTTGACTACCTTCCAACATTAACCGTTAGCCTCAATTATTTGGATTCAAATCAAGAAGCTCAACCTCTTTCTTAACAAGCTTGATTTTCCTTAAGCAAATTCCTAGCTTAACTTTATTTAACTTGATAGCACACGTGTATACATATTTAAGAGAGCTCACAAATCCTCTGAATCCTTTCAACAATAATAACTTGATTCTATAAACATTCTTTAGTCAATTACAATTCCTCTTCACCATTTGCAAACCCTAAGAACACAAATTTCCTTCTTGTTTCTTGAGTAACTTTAAGATATCCAAAACCAATATTTAATCTTCTAGCTATCAAGCATCAGCTAAGTCTCTATTAAACATTTCTTACTTCATTTGATAATTCTCTAACTTCCTAATTTATAATTTCACTCTTTAATAACTTCTAAGAATCTCGATTGACTTAAACCCAATATCCCTCTAACTCAGCAACTTTTACATTAAACCACTCTCATTTGCACAGGGACCCTTCCCCAGTAACTCTAACATCATTTTACATCTACACTACTGTCGAAATCAATTGTAAAATGTTTTTGCTTCGAATCTGGAAGTTTTCCCAGATTTTCAACACATACCCAAGACTAATATTTGACCATACTTATTCACCTTGTACGCTTAAATTTTTCTCCTTTTCCTCCTTTAAATCTTACATTCCCTATTCAACCTTTTAACTATAAAACACACCCAAGCCTCACAGTCAATTTCCTACCACTCATACACTCCCCCCATTCAAACAGCAATATAGCGTATATTTATATGATCCTATATATATATATATATATATATATATATATTTTTTAGGTGAACCGAAATCACAACTGTATATATATTTATATGTCATCAACATTTCTTTTCCACTGAACCCGAAGCTAAAAACTTGCAGGCATAACAATCTCTATTCGGTAAACTCAAAAACAGAGCAAACAACACTTGCATATATCTACACACATATATATACATACTTATACCGAAACTATATATATATATATATATATATATGTCAGTTCGGTCTCCTCTCAAACCAGTGAACCCGACGCCATATAACATCCAACAACCAGAAAGAAAAACAGATATCATTATCTCAAGTGATTAACGCCTGTGTTAGAAGCTAAGAACCAGAAACGAAAACAACATGCAAGCACCGAAATACACTCCCCTGTCACGGATTCAAAAGCAGAGCAACCCGTCACACACAAACTCCTTCTGGATCCCGCGGCATATGCATATGTCTATATATATATATATATATATATATATAAAGAAGCGTCCTTCTCCTCCCTTTAACCTCTGTTTTCGGTTGACATAAACAGAGGAGAACAAATGAAACCAATACCCAAAACCAGAACAAGAAGCAACGACGTCTAAGTATACCAGTATATTATTTCAGTTCGGTAATCTCAGGACAGAGTATCAACCTTACATGCAAGCTTGAAAACCAACATCAAACACTTCAATCTACCCATAGAATCCGAATCCATCGGTCCTCTTATCCTTTCCATCACTTTCTCTCACTACCCTTCTGTCTCTCTCTCCTCAAACACGCCATAACCACTCGGATAACAGGAAAGAAAATGGTGGGAGGTTGATCAGGATGCTCACCTGGAATGTTTGATCGGTTTGCATGCACTGGATACCACCTCCGATCACCAGATTCAACTCAGCCTCTTCTCCGTCGCCGACTTCTTCCTCTCGTGCTTCCTCTCTCTCTCGCTCGCGCTCTCTATCTCTCTTTTCTCTGGACACCGAATGAAATGAGTTAGACACGTGGTAACCAGCTGTTACATGGAGGAGAGAATCAGGTGGCTATTAGAGAAGAGAAGGTAGCACGCGTATTACAAAGTTCCTGGACCAATCTTGACCTCACACATAATTATTTCTCCAATCCTATCATTTCTCCTATTTTTCTGAAATATAAGATATATCCAGAAATTAAACCAAAATATTCTGAATGGATTTTTCTTATCCATCACAACTGGTTATCCTAAAATTCTCAGATTAAATATAAATCTCTAAGTATTTTTCCATAATTTTCAGAGAAAATAAACCATTCTTCTCTTAAAATTATCTGTTAAAATTATTTAAGCCATTTTTGAAGAAATACCTTTTCCAAAATGTCTCTAAACCCTAAAAATCATTATTCCATAATTTTTTCCCTTTATTTGGTAAATAAATAATTTTAATAAATTTTTTTCTTTTTTACTCGTCCTAAATCATAAAATTCGGAGTGTTACAGGCAACGTCTTTGCCTCGCCCGAATCTTCAGTCGTTCTCTTTCCCTTCCCCCAAATCTGAAATCCCAAGCCAAAATCCCCCTTCAAATGTTGGTCGGAGTTTTTAATCGAACCTGCAAGGAATAAGAGTTTAGTTAATAAAAAGTAAAAACACGGAATGCATAGCCCCTAATTACCTGAGCAAGCACGACAATCCAAGTCTTCCCTTTGGGTTGGTTGTTTTTTCAATGTGGTACTTGATAGAGTGACTAAGGGGTTAGCTGTAAGCAGATGGAGATCAAGAAGGGGTGACTATAGAGCAATGATTCAGAGGTGGCCCACACAAAAGATAAAAGAGGGTTCTCAAGAAAAGAAGAGTGAGAAAATTTTTGGATGGAGTTTGGAAGACAGTTTAGTAAAATTAAATATTTAAACTATTTTATGGTTTTTTTGTATTTGTTGAGTGATTATTATTTATGAATATTGTTCTATTTTGTTATTATTAGTTAAATTGTATTATTTTAATATGATTGGTCCAACCCCAATCTGACTCCAATCAGACAATTAACCCTTAACCCACTATCTCGATGAATTTAGTTTCTGGTCTGGTTTTTTGTTCCTTAGTTGTTGTGCTTTGTTATTATTATAATCAAACTATTGTTGCATTTTATTGTATCTTGTTATTAATGATTATTAATGTTATTGTATTTTGTTATTTTTAATTAAATTAAATTATTTTATTATAGCTGGTTTGATTCAAAGTTAATCCTAGTCTGATCCACTGACCCCTGAACCATTACTTTGACTAGTTTGTCAGTGTCCAGTCCAGTTTTTTGTTCTTTTTAAAAATTTGTTAGAAGCACATCCATTAATAAATAAATAGAACCACACCAACATTCTTGGCAGAATAGAGCAGGAAAAAGAAATTGGACCACAGTAGAACTACAATATCACCAAGAAAGAGACTTGCAAGTTGAAACAGTTTCAAATAGAACAAGAGACTGTTGATTGTAAGCAATTATAGCTACCCAGAACTGAAAGCAGAAGGATGGTAATTAATTGGCAAAATAAAAGAACGGCTGGATACTACTGGCAGCCTAAACTAAGAGAAGAAGAAACAAGGCACCAGGATGAAGATTGAAAAAAATCACGATAAACATAAATGAATCATCAATATGAAAATATCATCAAAATCTGTTGAAATCTGTACTATTCATAAGAAATTATATGAAAAATGTGTCTCACTTCACATTCAGTGCCAACAAAAGACACACATGTAAGTAACCCCTCAATCTGTTCTAAAAGGTGTACAAACACATTATTATAATGCTATAATAATACAGAAAGGAATACTACTATAATAAAACTCCACATCAATTGATGTGTTTTGGTTTTGGTATTTGCTAATACTCATACACTGTGTAGCAGATACTGAGGCTTGGAATGTAATGGTCTTCTTTTGAGTTTAGGGGCTTAGTTAATTTGGGCTTGCTAGGCCTTTGAACATATTTCACTGCATATTGTTTCTTTGTTTGAAATCTGATTGGATTTTTGATTTCATTCGCTATTACTATGCTTCATTTAATTTCCTAGTGTTTTAAGTAATTACCTATGAATTAATATTTGGTTTTGGTTTTGTATTAGGAAGTTCGCCTTTACTATTATGCGTGCATAAATGCTAGGCTTGCGGGTATTCATAATTCCTGAATGACGACCACACCACAAAAATTATAAGCTGGAGCATTTTTATAAAAAAATTTTATAAATTTTTTTTTGCATACATGTTTTTTTTCATTTACATCCCCAATTGATTAAATTATATTCCTTTCTATCCCCAATTAATTAAATTATATGCCTTTCTAATATCCTTTTCCCACTCGTCCTCTCTATAAACAAGGGTATATTTACTAAAACAAATACATTTTTTATGCCCTTGTTGCCTTAAACCAATTTTAACCTACTTTTTAATTAAAATAATAATTCAATTATCTGTAACTAATAAAAAGAAAAAGAAAGTAACATATATTCATGAGTTGTCTTGACGTACCTTTGCAGGATTTGACATTGACTTGTTTTGAAAAATGAAAGTTGGTTAGAGTTTTGTTCTTAACTTCGCTTTTGAATTGCTTTGGTCTCTTGACTCTTACAGAAATGAACAGGTCATCCATCATAATTCTTAATTAGCACTTAGTAATAGAAATATTGTAATCAATTATGTATTAATTTAAATCATTTTTCCTTGTTAAATTTCCAGATAATTACAAATAGTTGCAACCAGTTATAGTTTGTAATGATCATTATCTGACTCAAATTTTTTCTTTGCTCCAAATTATCTGTCTCAAGTTAGAAAAACAACATAAATAACTGTTTATAACGAATTCTTGAAACCTCTAGCCCTATCATAATTAAAAAGAACTAATTTTATTAATGCTAATATTTAGTTGTTAAAGGAATATTAAAATTAATTTTACAAAAGATATTTTGATTGAAAAAAAAAATATTTCGTTTCATCGTTATTACATATTATTTATATATATAATTATTACTTATTACATAATTTTACTTTAAAATATGAATACGGATCCTTAGATTCCCAAACCACGGAACTTAGATTCTTTCATCGTTAGATTGGTGAAAAATCTTAATAATCCTAATTTATTGAATTAATGGGTAAGATCTAAGGTTGAATTATCGTGTTTCTTATTGTATGATTTTTCCTCCGAGGCTGGCGTTTATGCGCTTTGTAATTTTTAGAAAAGAGATGTTTTCAAAATGCGAATAATTTCAATGCATTTTTTTTTATCAATATTCAGAGTCTTATTATAACCACCACGAAAGGAAAAACGCAAAATAGATTATTGACCAATGACCATTGCTCTGTACGTATAGAAGGGTGTAATGGTGAATCAAAAAGTTTACACAAATAGGAGAAAGCAAAATAAAAATACATAAGTAATAATACACACGCCATGTTTGGTGGTCCTTTAATTTATTTTAAAAAGAAGCTAATCAACCTTAGAAATCAAAGGCGCTGTAAGGACCAATGAGGAAATCCAATCCCATAGCAGTAAACCAATCTGCAAATTATAAAAAGCCAATTAACTGAAAAAACAATTAATAATTTCATGAAGAGAACAGAGATGAAGGAATCACACCCAGACATGTGCTCGCATACATAATCACACGATGACATGGCTACCTTTTAGCATTCAGTGAATAAAGGATAGAGCTGGGCCAGCATTTTGACATATGTCAAAAGCAATATGCTTATTTTTTATATCTATAAAGAGTAAAATTATATCACGTCATAAAAATTAAAAGAACAGTAAAGAATAATGTGTGCGTTGATGTTACCAATGTATTTTACCTTGAAAATTTATGTTGACGTCATCTGACGTGAGGGGCTGAAATTTTGATTGGAAATTGTGTTTGGCGTCCCATTCCAAACTGTCCCACCAATCTTTGTGTCCGCGGATAATTAGTTGTTTGGCAGAGTTGAATGAAGTGGTAGCCTTTTCAGATTTGGACATTGTGATATACTGATGGTTTTTAGGGAAGGAAAAGACAAGGCGGTCTTATGGATGCTCTGAAGCTTTGGCATTCCACCCAGATATAGGTTTACCAGAGAAGAGAATACACAAGAAGAATCCTCATTCTCATCTTCCTTTATCACTTCCTCCACTGATGAGCAGTCGACAACGATAAGTAGTTGAAGCAGTGGAGCATGCTTGAGCCATGTGACATGCGTTAAGGAATGGCAATCAAAGATACACACGCTTTGAAGCATGCTTAGACAACAAGTGTCATCAGAAATACCAGAATAATCTTTCAAACCAGATAATTCAATCAGACCCAATTGTTGGAGGTGATTCATTTTTGAAATGCATGCCAATAATGAAGGCATCTCAATGGTGTCCAAATCAGAGAGGCGAAGAGCATATATACGTTCTTGCAATTTGTCTGACTGAAGTAACTTGGTGAGGCCTTTTTCTGTTTCCATGTCAACATTTATTTCCTCAATTTTTGGCAAAGATTCCACCTCCTCCAGGAATTCTTCCTCTGCTTGGCTATTTTCTCCAACTCCCCTGTTGCAATGAACTCTCAACACTCTTAATTGCTGAAGACTTGATATCACTCCCGATGGAATGCTTGCAATATTACTATCACTCAAGTACAAATTGAATACCTTCAAATTCTTCAAATTCTTCAACTCCTTGGGACACTTAGATCCATCTATGCTTAAACAAAGATATTCCAATAGAACCAACTCACCAATTTCTCCAAGTTCACATGTATCATGACACTGTAGTTCCAACACCTTTAATTTGCTCATGCATTTGAGGTTTTGCAAATGTTGTATACCACAATGCCTCAACAATAATGTTACTAAATTGGGATAAGTTACAGGTGGTACATGCTGTACTTTCCTATTCATAATTGAAACCCTCTCAACAATTTTCTGTTTTTCAACATCATCACGGGATGTTGTTATCACATCTTCTTGTACAAGAACCCTTTTAATTCTTTTATTTTGGTCACAAGATAACCACAATGCCATCTCTCGAATCATATCATGCATCTTAAATGAACGACTTAAAACAACATCATCTTCAATACTCTCCAACAAGCAACAAAGCTTCAACTTTGCAATCACAGATTGACCATCATTACGAATGTCTTGTATGCTTTTTGTCATATCTCTACACATAAACCCCTCCCCTATCCATTTATCAATGACATCAGTGACCCGAATCTCATAGTCTTCTGGATATAATGCACAATACAAGAAACAGTTTCTATGAGTATCATTCGGCAACTGATCATAGCTCAACTTAAGGATGGAAAAAACTTTTGTCTCCAAATCTGTAGTGGTCCATGTAGAACTTGTCAACTTATTTTTTGAGCACTCCCATACTTTAACATCTTTCACACCAGCCATAGCAAGTCCTACCACAATTAACGCAAGAGGCAGCCCTCTACACTCTGCTGCCATTTCTTTTGCTAGTTCTTTAATCCTAGGGTGGGAGTTTAAAGTTTCCTCTCCAACTTTCATATGAAATAACTTTAATGCTTCTTTTTCATTCAAAAAGTCCACTTTGAGTGGTTTTGGAGCTTGCATTTTTGCACACACACATCCTCCAATCGTGTTGTGAATAACACTTTGGACTCAAAGTTTGAATCTTTTGGATGGGGTATCCCCACCGAATTCAAGTCCAATCTCTCCCACACATCATCCAGTAATAAAACAAATTTTTTCTGCTTCAACACACCCCAAATCTTTGAAGATTTTTCCTCTTGATTATTGCAAGAACTCCAAGTAACATCTCCAATTCCTACTAATTTTCTTATATTGTCCATGATTGCATTCAAGTCAAGCTCTTTGGATACCACCACCCAAATCACAAGAAAATCGGGCTTTCTCTTCCCAAGTTCATTACTAATTTTCGTCAATAAAGTGGTCTTTCCTACCCCTCCAGTCCCATATAAACCTGTGACACCAATATTCTTTGCTTCAATTCTATTCCATACTTGATCAAATATCAAATCTTGCCCCACAGTCTCATCAAGAGGTATTTGACCAATTCCTTTACGTGGTGGCTTGTGCGTAATTGGATAACCTTACCAAATCTTTGTCCCTCGGCCGTTAAATCATCTACTTCAGTGAGTATCTTGGCAACATTCTTTTCCACCTTGTAGCTTGACTTGCAATTCTTGGGACAACACTTGCTTAGGCATTTGTTTTGGATTTCTTGGGCTCCTTGAACTTGATTGTCTTCCACTTCCTGCGAATACAAAATCATTTAGTTTGATATTTCTTTGCCCCCCTTTTTCTGAATCTTTACATGAACTAAGTAAGCACACTTCCATATCAAGTTTTGATATCAAGATAAGAAATTGCATATCTTAATATAAAAGAATGAATTTTTTTTGGGCCAAATATGAATGACAGTTTTTTTGACCAAAAAAGTTGAACGATATTGTTAAAGATTTTGGCTGGGTTCGTTGGGTTTCCTCTTGACAAAACACTCTTTTTTATAATTTTAAAAACGACAAATAAAAAACATGTTTGAAAACGGTTTTTGATCAATAAAAAAATAAAATATTTTTGTAAAAGGAAAAATAATAAGAACATCAGTTTAATATTTTATTATTTTTCTGCTCGACAAAATTATAGTAGAGGTAGAAGATATTATATTTTTATCAGAATTAAAGTGTATTTAATATCTTAAAATATTTTATAAGATACATTCAGTACCTGAAAATATTTTAGAATGCAAAAAAGTGGAGCAATGTCCCCTTTCGATATAATATGAGTTTCACATTTATCCGAAAAATTTTAAATGTGCTTAACTAGCTTGGTTTGAACTAACACATTTCAATTAAATTATCATAAATTACTGAGCTAAGGAATTACTTAATTAACAACATCATTGATAGCTGAATATGAGAATTATCTAATTCATGAACAGAAACAATCGAAGTAAATAAAAACACCACATACTAAATAGAGGGGGGAAAAAATAAATGTAAAATGAAGAGTTCGTACCTTTTGAATGTTGTGGACACGTTGGAGCCAAAGATCGACTTCATGTGTCCTTTGCTCCTCTCCGGTACCCTCAGTTTTTTCAATTTGTTCTTCCACATCCTTCTTTCTAGCTTCAAGCTTTTCCCATCTAATTTTCAGAGCTTGCACATTCTCCTCCAACTTATAAATAAACTCAACTTCTTGTTTGGCGCAACCACATAAATACTTTGTAATATCCCATATGATATCTCCTAATTTCTCCTTCTCTCTCACTTTGATCTTTCAGACGATGCTAAGCTCGCACTTATCCAAAATCAAACAGCAAAATGCTAAAGTTAGAATTGTTTTTTTCAATAAATATTTTCCCCTCAAAATGAAAGAACATCACATGTATGATGGTTTAGGCTTACCTCGTACACCAAGCGTCACACCCCAAAAATTTAGGGGTGAATGGTACGAAATATGAGACAACTCACATTCCTAAAGCCTAAAAACATATGAATAAACACTTGCCATAATAATTACAATACCATTCATACAAAATTGATCTCTTGTAATCAAAATATAAGGCCATTCATAAGAATTCTGCAAATAACTCGCAGGTACTACACGAAAAAAGAGCTCCCCTCCACAACAATACGAACATATATTCATATATTTATAATAATAAATGAAGGCAAAGGTCTGCCTTCATAAGAATTCTGCAAATAACTTGCAGGTACTACACAAAAAAAGAGCTCCCCTCCACAACAATACGAACATATATTCATATATTTATAATAATAAATGAAGGCAAAGGTCTACCTATAAATTATGTGGAGGATCTAAAACATAAATAAATAAATACATAAATGTAACTTAGTTTTGCATCAATTCGCGATTGTTCTAAACTTTGATCACCAATGAGAGTTTTTTTCTTCTTCTTCTATTCAGTTGAAGGTGCAAGGTTAGTGTATTATCTAAGGCCAAATAAATTTTACTAGTGAATATCATCCGGTTAACAAGAATAAGATAAAAAAAAAAAAACTAAAATAATAACTTGTACAATTACCACAAGGTCGATTTATGATTACTTTTAAATAAAAAAATTTATTATAACATGAAATATATATCAATATAAAACATTTTCAGTATACAAAAATTTATAAGGCATTTTAACAATATGTTTCTGAAATCAAATCACGAGTAGAGTTGAAAAACATTTTTCAATAGAGGATTTCAACAAAACAAACAACAAGCATGGATATATAGTCCACGAGGGTAAGTAACCAGCAAGTGCAGTTGAAGCCATGAGTACAAGCGTAACTGAAGCTACAAAACAAGAGTCGAAACATTGTTTGTGAGTATCAAGCAAGCTCGATATTAATTATGGCACACCAATACAAGCACAGCCAAAGCTACGAATACAAGTGTGACCGAAGTCACGATCGCAAGCGCAGCCAAAGACACAAAGAACAATGGCGGGAACAATGCCCGCGAATAACAAGTGTGGCCGAAACCACAAATAACGAGTGAGCTCGATATTACCATAGTACACCAAGGGCTAACAACACTACTGTTAACAGCCACCATTCTGTATTTAGTCCTCACAGAAATCATTTTCAAGCATATATGAGACCAATTTATCATCAGTAAACAAGAATCTTTCCTATCATTGAAAACATGTAAATAGAATATTTAACAAAAGATCCCAGCATGAAAGTTCAAAAAATCTCAAATATTTTCCTCAAATTCCATCAACGAACAAAAATCATTTTTTCGAGTAATAATACCTCAAACAAGAGTATTTCAAGATGTAAAAAGAATTTACAATATTGAACAAGGAAAAACGAATAATGGTACAATTGAAATGAAGTTGTTTTGATGAAATAATACTTGAAAAATATGGGGTGGCTAAATAACAATAAACAAATAAGAAAATATCATTTATAAAAACCTCTTTATCAGACGCTATTCACACTTTCATTATACTTTAAGATAATCCTTATTCTTTACTCTTAAAATCATGAACAATAATATGCCGCATAAGCTATTTAGCACAATGATTTTGGCCGCCAACGTACACCATCTTAATCTTCAATTTGCAACAATTTGATATAGTAAGGAACTTGAATCTCAACCCCTTTTTTCTTTTTCTACAAATACTAGAGTTACAAATTCGAATAACGATTGAGTTTTATCATCCTTAAATATTAGCCAACTAACCAAATGCCACGAGTCTAAAATATAACATCTATTTTCCCTTTTCGCGAAGCATTTTGTCAGCTATGAGTGTCCCACCATTCCCTTCATGAACTTAAACTCTTCAATTAAGTTCTTTTCGCCCTTCTATAACATAAGCCTTAGCTTTCTAGCAAATTTTACTAGCCTCCCAATCCAATTCTTCTCTTAAACATTAAACAAACACTTCAAATGCATTCCACAATTCTACTCATAACCCTCGGACAATCTTAAATTTAAACCAATTTCAATTCATACATTCCTTTCTCAATCAAAACGCTTTATTATTATAGAGAATACTTGCCTCTGGTTCAATTTGGTAACACATTCTTTATCGTTATAGCTCACAATAAATGACTTCTATCCATCACACAATTCGTCAAACACCTTGTGTGCATACACTCGGTACAAACGTAAATAAAAATCACGATAGTCCATAAACCATCAATCCCACGAATGTCACTAACCCATCAACCTCACAAAATTTTCTGCCTCAATTTCTTAACCAGACCCAACTTGCAATGGAGAGAAATCACAATTTGAAAAGAAACCAAAAGGTGCAAGGATATTTACCTA